AAAAATTATATATTTTAATATTTGTATATCCCAATTTCAATTATTTACTTTTATATATTTGTTCAAAAATTATATATTTCAAATTAAAATTTTTTTTTTTCACTGGCCAACGGGTTAACCGCGGCCCGTGAAGGTGCAACCCGCGAAACCCGCGGGTCACACCTCATTGACCCGTGAACCGTCCGCTCGGGTCACGGGTTGGCCCACGGTCCCGGGTCGATACGGACAGGTTTTCACGGGTCTGGCCGACCCGTTTGTCTTGACACCTCTAAGATGAATAAGCAAAGTGAAGTGAGGCCTTAGGGAACTGGCTAGCGTGGAAAGAATCAGGAACTCCGACTGTATAGTAATTCCTGTTTTGTGGAAGTGAAGCAAAAAGCGTATTGAAATCATTGGATGTCCCGTCATTAAAGAAAACTTGAAATTCAGGCATCTGATGTGAAATTGATAATTATTTTTCAATTTTTTTTCTTCATCGTTTCAACTATAATTTGCTGTGCATGGAAGGTATTAGGTCCTGTAGAGCACCCAAAATCCGCAATGCGGATAATGTTGAAGAGAGTTTTTCTATGTCAGTTTATTGTTAATTTCTTCTTCGATGATTTCTTTTGCGACCTCCTTTGCTCCCCTCTGTATAAAAATCAAATATAGTATTTATTATTTTAATTATATCGAATATTATGAAACTCATAGAGGTTAATTCATAGCAATATGTAGACACACTATTTCTCAAAAAGTAAAAGAAAAAAGTTTTTTCATTTTGGTTTTTACATCTAATCCATTTTATAAAAATATAATTTTATTTTTTATAATAGTATAATTATTCAATATTCAAAAGTAACATTACTTATTTTAAAGTGAAATTCTATTCGGTGCATTATGCAGTGCAAACAAAAGTGTTAAGCAACACAACAACGGGTTCACTTCAATCACTGATTTAACCATTAAAGTTAAAGACACATACTTGAAAAGATGAGTTGTTTGCATAGCTTTGATGTCCATCTCCTCCATTCATGGCATAAAATTGATCTGTACCCATCTTCTCTCTCTCTAAAATTATATATATTTATGCATGCATATCAAACATTATACTTGCCCTTTTATAGAGTGACCACTCTACAGGCATGCTCGGCAAACAAGCCCATGGCATTAAATATTTTAGGGATAGTCTTAATAGTCATACCAGATGAGTTGACTAAACTACATATATTGTACACATATCAAATTTCATGTATTGAAGGATAACAAGATATAGACCTGTGATTGTATCCATCATTGGATAATAATCGATTTATACAAGTCTTTGCGAAATTTATTTTAATAGTTGTACATTACATATTACGATTTTATTTTTCGTGTTAGTTCTGTAGGTCCAGAAATTTCAGATTTGTCTAGCAAGTTCAATTTTGTTAGGATTGCATCCTTTTATTTGACCAATTATTATACATCGGTATTCTCCAACTAATTTTCTTCAATATCCTTGATATCTTTCACAATGAAGCCTACATTATATAAAAAAATGTTGTCAATAACTTTTTTTTTCCGAGTCAATTTCTTTCTTCATAATAACATAACTTATTAAGATATCGCAAGTTTCATCAGGTACCCGATCCTGTTATGAGATTTCAAAATTTGTTATATCTAAATACTTGCTAAGAGTATATACCTCCTCAATGGGACCATCTTTGCAAATTGCACCATTTTCTTTTACAGATTTTTGTATTAGAATCGAATGTTATCACATTTAAGGCATATCATAGATTTGTCAAATATAATATTAATTAATTGTCCACCAGGATGTCAATTCGAGTTAGAGCAGTTAAACCTAGCTTTTGAGATGTTGTTTTCTTTGATCAATAAATGCATCTAAATGAACTATTTTTCGAAATTGTGGTTCGAATTGTCTTTTACGAGGATTTAGAAAACATAATAATGCATCTATACATTATTTTCAACTTCTTAATTCCTTCCCCTATTGTTGAGAAAATTGTTCAGTCAAATTGACAATCAACAAACAGCATTATAAAATATCACCTATTAGAGCGTGAGATATTTTATAAGGGTTCAAACTACATATTTATTCTTAGCATTCTTTACTTTTCATCTCGTTGCATTGTGGGGAATCAATTGTACATATAGTACACTATCAAAATAATGAGGAAAAAAATTAGGCTTTGACCATAAGCTAAATATAGCTGAGAAGACTTTGATCTTGACATGATGTTAATAGCATTTTCTAGACAGTTGAAGAGTACTTTGTCTCCGTAGTAATGGTTTAGAGACTAATTGAAGGTATTAACAAGACATACCATCTTGATTGTATAATTTTAGAATTATATGCTCATAATTTAAAATTTGAGCAATAATTTCACAAATTTCAAGCTGCGAATACCGTGCAATCATCTAGAAATGCATCATATTTATTAAATACAAATAGTATCTATATGGTCAACATGGAGAGTAACAATACCCCATTTATCACCCTAATTAACTTAAAAAAATATAGGGAATTCAAGTCTATATTTGAGCTAGTGATGATCAATGACCACTTTTTAATAAAGAGGACAAACATCGTATAGAAGTTCATTAGATCGAAGAATCTTCTAGTTCTTCATTAAAAGCATGTTTGGGAGTGATTAAAATCCAATTAAAATTGAAAATATAACTGTTATTGAATTTCACTCGTTTAATAAAAGTCAAGAATAACTACTAGTTTTTCAGTTTTAATCCGATTTTAATCTCTACCGAACACGCTCTAAGTATCCATTTCAATTTCACATCATTATTAATTTAGTGATGGTCGAATTGATAATTCCAAATAATTATACATTCAATAATTGAAGTCCTCGTCCAATAAAATATTTGTTTCAATTATACCAACATTGGTATAGTATCAATCATGACATACATTTTAGAAACTTAATAGGTTTCTCATTAGTCTAGTAAAGAATAAACTACTATCAATCATAAAATTTTATTCTCCCACATAACGTAATATTGACTCTTTGAAGTGTCAAAACAATGTTTTTCTGAAATATTGATATAAATAAGCTTTTGCTTCTTTAGAAGTAATCTAATTAAAATTGAAACTCTTCAGGATCAATATGACATTTACATTGAAGTGTATAAATTTGTGACTTCTCAAGAATAATATCAGAATATTCTTACAGAATACTATTGTATAATATTTATGCTAAAGAACATCTAAATATATTTAATCGGGTTGAAGACACAGAGTATTCAATAATCATCATAAACATATATATTTTACAAACATAAAGAAAAACTTAAAGCGAAGAATACGTGAATTGACTTGAGTTCATTAATGTGAGTTGGATTGAAAAAGTAGATATATTAACGTGGAATTTACCCTTTTTCCGTTAACTTGAATTTACTTGATTTCAATATTGATTAATGAAAATGGATATAAGTACAGATGCAGTCGGTAAAGGAAAATAATAATCATTATGAACACAAACCCTATGCATGAATTGATTAAATTTATCAGTAAACCATGGATTGAGCATGGACGTACGTTAATGGATAACTCTTAAATTAATGGACATGCATAAAAAAGTTAACGTAAATTGTGTTGGTAAGAAAAATAATAGTCAAGACTTGAAATCAATCTCTTTGCATGCATATGAAAATATTACTACCTTTCGAAGATGAACCCCATATTTATAAGGAAGAATTAAAGCCGAAAGGGATACAATAGTCATAATAAGGACGCAGGGGTATAATAATCATTCAGAAATACTATTTTTTATAAAACAACATATTTTATTGCTAACATTTTTTTTATTATGACAATAGGACTTCACAACAGTAGAAGATGTAACAAACAAGTCCGACGAAAATGCATTAAAAAGAAAATAAACGAAAATCAAACAGTCGACCCATCATCTATATCCTGTAGGAACATAGGGATCGAAAATCAAGTCATCCGTTTGCACTTCAGGAGGACAAATGTTGTCATAGAATTCTCATTAGGATTCAACAGAAGTTTAGATTCTTCAACTTTTTCTTCGTATCCCCGAATAATTCATCCCTGATTTTGATTCCAAAATGAATTTGTAGAAGTCCCTCAATAAATGCTCTTACGAACATGGCAAATGATTTGGAATCAGGAGTGGTGAAACGTTTTGGCGGACTATTTAGTATCTCCATTCTTTCAATACTGAAATCTTGATTTCTTTCAATTAATGCTTTCCATACTCCATTTATCTCTATCGAACGTTTACTAAAATAAAAATAGCAGTTCAGTAACTAATTTAAAACGGCAAAAATTTTTGATGGCCAAAATGATTTCTACGACAAACAATATTTTTAACCCGTAAAGAAATTAATTTTTGGAAAATGCTATGGGTTGTGTACCCATAGCACAACCCTTAATTTTTAGCTAGTTAAATTCTAAAGTAAAGGAATATCAATGTTGACTTCCTTAGCCAAGTCCATGAGACAAGACCCCAAAAGTTCGAGTGACGGAAAAGAGATATTAGACATGTTCTTAGTATGATTGGTCTCAGAACCAACAAGAAACGCCATTAGCCCTCCAAAAACCAATTCTTCTGCCCTTGCATTCAAGAATGAGTCCAAATCCTTTGCAAATTGAGCAGCATAAGCATTGAAAACTTCATTTTTATCTCCATAGTACAAAATTTTCCCTCTTTAGGCACCTCAGAAAGCCAGTGGAGCGAACAAGACGAATAAGCAAAGTGAAGTGAGGGCTTAGGGAAGTGACGAACGTAAAATGAACCAGGAACTCCAGCTGCATAGTACTGTTTGTTTTGTGGAAGTGAAGCAAAAAGTGTATTGAAATCATTGGAGGTCCGGTCATTAAAGAAAACCTGAAACTCGGGCATCTTATGAGAAACTGATAATTGTGTTTCATCAACATTTTTTGGGGTCAACACATAGTACTGTTTGTTTTGTGGAAGTGTAGCAAAAAGTGTATTGAAATCATTGGAGGTCCAGTCATTAAAGAAAACCTGAAACTCGGGCATCTGATGAGAAACTGATAATCGTGTTTCAATTTTTTTCCTTCATTGTTTCAACTATAATTTGCATTGAATGGAAGGTATTAGGTTCTGTAGAGCACCCAAAATCCGCGATGCGGATAATATTTGGGGAAGTTGAAGAGAGCTCCTCTATGTCAAGTTTATTGCTAATTTCTTCTTCGATGATTTCTTTTGCAGCCTCCGTTGCTCCCCTCTGTATAAAAACCAAATATAGCATTGATTATTTTAATTATATAGAATATTATGAAACTCTAAGAAATTAATTCTTAGCAATATGTAGAGACACTATTTCTAAAATAAAAAAAATAAAAAATGTAGAAATCTATTTTATAAAGATATAATTATATCTTTATAGTAGTATAAGTATTCGATATTCGAAAATAACATAAATTCTATCCGGTGCATTATGCAGTGCAAATAAAAATGTGAAACAATGTAACAACGGGTTCACTTCAATTACTGACTTATATATTTCGTTATTCTAACCTATCTATATACACCAAAGCACTTTTGTATGAAAATCGATGAGGTTGAACATTGAGAAAGCTACATCTGTGAGATGTTGATTTAATTACTTCTTTCAACCTTCATCCACTTTGATTGTTTTGGTGAGAAAAAATATCGTTTCTATAATTCAAAGACCAAACTGCATTTCATCTACATCTAATCAGAGTTCTGAAAATCGAGGAAGTTCGACTGGAGTTCCAGTCTATGAAGAACGCGGTGTTTTTCGTTGATCCACGGGAAATAGATGATTCCACAAGGCTAGGAGTGCTACAGGGTAGTAGATTCCATGGAAAGCTTTGGCAACAACAGTTAAGGATTGGTGCAGGTGAGCACGGGATCCAGGGAGAGCTGTAGGGAGTGCAGTTGAGTGATCAGATAGAGCGGGTCGTCTAGTTTGATAGACTGTAAGTTGTTCAAATCGTTTATGGTGGATTGTTGATTTACAAAGTGCCCGGAGTTTTTACCATTTAGGTTTCTCCGTGTTGATTTACTGCTNTCCGTGATCATCCTAATATTGATTTACTGCTTTCATTATTGTTTGTTAATTGATCATATAAACTGCGGTATTCAAACATATGATTAAAATGACTTGCATGTTTAATCATCTAGAGAAGAATTAAAAAGTGACTCGTTGCTGTTTAATTCGTAAACATATTTTTAATTCCGTATTATATATCTATTCACCCCCCTTTAAGTATTGTTAGGGTCGAACTGCGTAACTTTCAGATAGGAATCAAGGCTTCTTCAGTGGTTTTACATAGAAAAAACCTCTAATGATGCCTACATATACTATACTACATATCTTCTTCAATCAACAACGTGTACCTAGAGAGCATTGACTTCAGGAGTAAAATATTTAAACAAATTCAAGAAAATGCCAGTTATTATCAATTTCTGGAAAAGGAATTTGAGAATCCAACTCTTCAATGAATCATCACGCGTACATTCTGCATCCACGAGGACCTGATAAGAAAGATGTAGATTTTAAACACAAAAGAGATTCGACAGCACTGAATCCATCCAGCCTATTTTAGACAAGTAATTAAAACCAGTCTTTTGTTCACTATAACAAAAAAATGGTACGAAACGCAGAAACTTGTAATTTTTGACACACTGGCACAGAATAAAGGAAGAAAACAATAAAATGAAATTTGGATTTTCGGGTAAAATATTATTGCCTAAGATTAATCATAATCAACAACACTGAAATTTTTGACTCGTTGGTTATTAATTAACCTTTATTTCTACAGTATTTTTATGTTTTTTGTGCTCCTGCCCCTTCCTGTTAGGCTCTAGACGTACCTCGTGTAATTGAGGGTGAATAACTACTACTAGTTGCAATACAATTAATATATATGTGACATCCTCAAAACATTATAATGCCTAGTAGAGGACGCATGAGACCACTATAATGTTAAACCAGTCAACCTACCAATGCTAATTATGTAATTCCAGTTGGATGATTCCTATTTTCCCCACAACACATAAATAGAATAGTTCAATGAATATCTCCATAAGTATATTATAATGTTATTATACTTTATAGCCTAGCCTGTGTTGCTCCACCACCTCACATATATGCTTACATGTGGTGAAGTATGACAGCTCTTGTACGCTGGTCCGTTGAGGCATATCCCGCGATTTACTTCATCCACAATGTTCTAGGGGTGGGGCAGTAGGGAACCCTCAAAGTTGGGGTTCAACCTTTTTTTTACATGTGGTGTCCGTCCACTAATGCATGTCAATTTGTTTAATGTACCTTCTGTTATCATAAAATGATTGATACATATTTGCAAGGACAATCAAAGAAATTCTAGTATTGTGCCTTGTTCAATATTTGAGTGATACTTCGTAAACATGTTTTTGGTATATTTTCAAATATTACGATTGTGGAATTAAATCGTAGTTTAAAATTATTTTCCGCAATGTTAAATGAGTTGAATCGTATGCACATTGGTAAAGAGCAGTAAAATTATCATTTTATGCTAAGAAGGAACAAGCTTATAATAATGAAACTGGTGTTTGCTACAAATCCGATGATAAAAATTAGGTTTAATTGCAACAGCGGTATCAAATCTTTCATTTAGTAGCAAACTTTGCTAAAACCTTTCATTTGTACCACCCACGATACCAAATCTTCCAAAAATTAGCACATAGGGTCCAAATGAATGATTTCTATTAGTTTGATCATTGGTTGACTAGATAATTGACATTGACAATAATTTTGACTAATTCTAAAATGTTAAAATGGTAATTTTACATTTTTTATAATAAATAACTAAAATCAAATAATTAAAATTAAAAACCAAAAATCAACTTCTTTTCTCCATCCACCCCACAAGTTAACTATGTACAATATTATCAATTCTAATACAACAATGCATTCAACAATACACACAACCCAGGTTGGCGTAATCATCCTAACTTCTCTTGAAGGAATAACCAAAATAATCGGCAGTAGCTTCCCCCTGATTTTCAACAACAAAAGAAAAAATCATCTATAAAAGATATCTTGGATAAATTTATACAGAAAATCAACCAGTACATGGTAAAGACCGAAACAATTTTGCAAAATTATTCAACAATCATAAAGGTGTTGGAAACTCAAATAGGTCAATTGATCTGCACTATCTCAGAAAGACCACAAGCAGACCTATCGAGCAACATATAAATTAATCCAAAGGAACATGTGCAAGTAATTACAACAAGTGGGGCACAACTGTCTGAAATTATAGTAAAAAGACCAGGGACAAATAAAGTGCCTACTTTGGATGATGAGCAAATGGAGGGATCTGAAAAGTTAACTGAGAAAAATTTGAAAGAGAATTCAAACACACCACATGCTAATGAGGTCGTTCCTATCAGAGAATATGTACCCCCCATTTCATTTTCTTAGTGACTGCATAAACATAATCTGGACAAATAGTTCTCCAGTGAATTGAAATGTTTAAAAAGTTGAATATCAACATTCCATTCGCGGATGCTCTTGTGCAAATGTCCAACTATACAAAATTTATGAAGAAAAATCTCAATAACAAGAGGAAGCTGGAGGACTACAAGACCATAATGCTAACTGAGGAGTGCGGTGCACGTCTACAGAAAAAATTGCCCCAAGCTCAAGGATTCATGGAGTTTTACTATACCTTGTACCATGGGATATAGATATTTTGAACACGCTTTAGGCGATCTTGGCACAAGTATAAATTTAATGCCATTATCTTTGTACATGAACTAGGAATTGGAGAGGCTAAAACAACCACAATATTATTGTAGCTAGCTGACCGCTCCATAAAGCATCCAATGGAGATTATTGAAGATGTCTTGGTGAAGGTGGAGAAGTTCATTTACACCACATATTTTATCGTATTAGATATGGAAGAAAATCGAGAAATTTCAATCATTTTAGGCAGACCTTTCCTGGCTACTGGAAGAGTGTTGATTGACGTACACGAAGGAACGTTGACACCGTGGGTTAATGATGAGAACATAAATTTCAACATCTATCAAGCGAATGCCGTACACAAAGGAACGTTGCCACTACGAGTTATTGATGAATGAGTAAATTTCAACATCTATCAAGCGAAGAAACATCCAGAAAAAGCTGACTATTGCGATATGATCCAATTAGTTGAAGCAGTTGTAGGTAATAGAGAAAAAAGAGATTTATTCTATGACCCTTTAGTGTAGCACATGGCTACCAATTATTCAGCAAAGGATACAGCTCTTACTGGTAAATACTCAGGAATCAATGAAGTAATTGATTTCTATTGGCTCATGAAGTCTATCCACCTGACAAAAAGGAGAGCTATATGGAAAAGTCTTGGAAACCTCCAAACAATGTCAAACCAAAAGAGGGTTTGAAAGCTATATCGGAGTTAAAGCCGTCCCTTCTATTTGTCATGCTATAGTGAAGAAGATTACAAAGCCAAGGATAAAGTTTAGAAACATGAGAGACGTGCCACCTAAAGATTCAACGTAGACAATTTGGTTAAGTAAAGTTAATGACGTTAAAAAAACGCTTCTTGGAAGGCAACTCAAGCCTTCTTTTTTTATTTTTTTATTATGTTTTTAGTTTAGGATAGTTTAGTTTATTTTAAGTTTAATTGAGCCATACCCCATTTTTCCTTTGGTCTTTGATATGTTGGTTTATTAGATGTTAGAGTTAAGTAACACTTGTTCCAATTATTTGATCTTAATGTTTTATCAGGAACATGACGTCGCGTAATATTTAAATCAATATTGACCAATGAGCCAATGAGAGTAATAGGAAAGCTAACAATTACACGCCATATCAGGGGAGTCTTTTCTTCACTTTCGTCCCCACCCCTTTATATGTAGATTTATAATTTAAGACATTGAGGACAATGTCTTGTTTAAGTTTGAGGGTGGAAAACATGATTTTTCATTTTTTATGTGTTTGAGTTTCCATTTTTTTTTATATGTTTTTGAGTGCTTTTGTTGCTTTAAAAAAATTGAAAAATTTTAAAAATATTTCCTTTTTATGTGCTTGTGTGAGTTATTTGGTTTGGCTGGTAATGAAGAATGTATTGAATTATAAATTGATCTATGAATGGTGAATAAGTTGAATGCTTAGATTAATTTTTGATTTTTCATGTGAAATTTGATATATATTGAGTACATGAATTAAGTTAAGGGTTGTGTATGAATAAGTTGAATTCATAATTGGATGGATTGAAATAGTAGACCATAGATGCTAAACCCAAAACCACAAAATTTTACATTTTTTGACCAAATTGAANTAAATTTTGCATCATTGGACCAAATTTAGAATAGTTTAGGGGATTTCACTGTTGTGAGAAGATATTGAGATAAATAAGGATTTCATGTGTGAAATTAAAAATTTTGTGTGAATTGTCTAATGTTAATAGAATGAAATTTGGTGAAAATCTTAACTTAGAGTTCGTTTTACTTGAATTGGTGTAAAACAAACAATATACCAAAATAGCTCTGATACTATTTGTTGTGAAATAAACCATCAAATTGAGATATTGAAATTATATGACAAATAATGAAATATTAGTTCAAGCAAAAGAATAATAAATATAAGAAATATGGCAGAGGAATTAAAATATTTTATTGACTTAAGAATAATGGAGAAGAGAGAAAATTATAATGGATTCTATAGTTCTAGTAATCTATTTTTTCACATCTTATGAAATTTTATAAATGAGTCTAATATTTATAGGGAACATGTAGGGGACGTCCAAATTTTCTTAGTAGAGTTGTTGATAAAGTATGATACCAAAAAATCGAGTTCAAAACGAAAAAGGAGAGAAAAATGTGGAAACGGGTCGTGTGTGCCGTGGCGCCCATGCTCGACGTTATGGTGTCGGGCGTTCTCAAAAAGAAATAAAAATTTCAAATTATTTTCTCAGTTTCAAATTCTTCTTCAAGTCCAATACCAATTTCAACTCTCAATGGACATCCAAAATAGAATTCCAACTTGATATAGAATTCCAATAGCATTCCAAATTTAAATTCTTCATAACTTGCATTTCAATTAGAATTCTTCAATACTTTAAACAGGGAATTCGAGTCACACTCAAATTCGAACAA